AGCAGCGGCAATAGCAGTGGCTTTGGCCGTTGCCTTTTCGGCACTTGCCAGCAAGAGTAAATAGTTGTCTCGACATGAACCACTCCAAACCTTGATGAAGGGGTTGTCCAGACCGCTGTCCACACATTGTTTGTCATGTATGCCCCATAGCAGATGTGAGTTTGTATTAGAGATGCGCAAACCTTCCTCTTCACTTGCTAAGAGTTTCTTCCAGAATGCCTAGAAAATATAATACCTCAAATTTAGTATAAAACTGATTTAGCAACTTTTCCCTTGGCAAAGACGCCCGAATTATGTTACGTGGCCTGTTTTCTATCACGTGTTCGATGAACTTGTTCAGGTCTGCAAAACTCGGTCCCGAATAATAGATTAGAAGTTCTGCAAGCTCACGAGAGCAGCCTTCTCCCAACCTTCTCATGGTCATGCCAATAAGCTGCTCGCTGGAAACTTGCGGTAAGCTGTAAAGTGTTCCTCTAGTCGCTATACACCATATCTGCTACCATTTCTTCAGAACCAACCAGCCACAGACTAAAGTGCTGAAAATCAGTTGCTTCTTTTCCTAGATTCACCAGTTCGTAGGCCTCATCCTTCATGAGCCTGTCAGCATTGTCAACGACCACGACCAAAACAGCGAGGCTGTGCTCCTGTGTGCCTACTCCACCAGTTCCAGCACCGTCCTACTCTTAAAATCTGCTCCCATTTATCTATGGGCTTCCCCCGGACAACTCTAGGAAATGGAGCACCATATGTGGTGTTGATCTAGTTGCACAATTGCTCCAGTGTAGTGTCCTCCTTCATGCTGAAATACATGATAGCTCTCCCCCTTTTCTCTGCGGCAGTGAGTACACATGTTGTTTTGCCCGACCCCAGCTTCCCACCCATCAAAACAAGCCTAGGTCCTCTGTTCATGAGCTCAAGGATCTCGTTCTCCACCTCAGACATGTCCACATATACCTCTGGCTTCACAGCGTCTGGGTACAACAGTCTCCATATCGTGTAAATTGTGTCCGAGAACAGTAATGTGCAAACACCATGATGGCTGTCACCTTTCGAACGTTGCTATGCACTTGCTCCGGAGTCGTCGTTGGCCGTCCGGATCCTATAACCTTTGTTCGAAGCCGCTAATGTCTGGAGACCTAAACCTTCCCGGAACATAATATCTGCACGAGATGGCATGGTGAGCAGTGGCCACGAGGCGTCGACAGGCCACACGTAAGCAACATACCTAACGAATTTTTCACTAGACAGAAGAGGTCTGCCCAAAAAACAATCTCTACAAATTAGCAAAGATCACACACTGTAAGCACACTGTCAAGGACTTCGGCAGCAGCAGATCAAAAAGAATCTATGGATAGACAGAGCTTTCTTTGAGACATTGCTGTTTGAGTACAGATCCAGACACTCGTGGGATGCATGGCACTGCTCTAACGCTTGTCTCCATTGTTAATCGTCATTATTAACGCCTAAACACTCCATTGAAAGATTGCACTCGAGCTTCGTTCCATGATAGTGTCCACGATCATCTCTGCGGTGCCAAGTGCCTGCGATTGAGATAAAAAAACAAGAAACTTTACAGCTTCTGGTGAAGATTTCAAGTTTTACCAGCGAGAGGCCACTCCCTTCGTGACCACTTGCTAGGAACAACCCCGGGAGCTCCACAATCGGGCCTATGAGAGGAACTCCTCCAGGAGCTGGGAAAAGGAATCACAGCTTTAGCCTGTCAAGAAAAGATTTTTATGCTCACTGTAAGGTCGAAGTCCGGTTCGGGGATGGATTGACGAGAGCGGAACGCTTGCTAGCGCAGGGAAAAACTTGGCAGCTCTGTGGAGGATTTGCTGGATGACTGCTTCGTCTGGAGTAATGTCAAAGCCTTTGAATTCTCTGCTACTACCTGTTAAGACGAAAGAGAAAAAACTGGCTCGATGTAAGAGCTCAAACTCATACTCACCGAGCAAGACATTTCCGGCCGGATCGACTGTAGCCGTGGTGGCCACTCCAAATTCGTCTAGTGTTTCCTTGGAGTTTTTGGTGCTCGTGTAAGCAAACTCCATGGTCCCGTAGTTTAGATGCAATCCAGCCGTTTTATCCACCACCAGAAGGTGGCCCTTTGATTCAGTGAGACAACCAGCGTCAGCTCAAGCTGGAAAAAGAGATTGCTTTTACCTTCCGAGGCCGGATCGACGGAGTCAAATCCAAATCAAAGCGTTTGGATAGAATTTCCAGTAAGTCCGAGCTCCAAGCACCGGCTGCAACTATAACAGCTCGCTTAGAATGAAGGTCACCATTTAAAGTTTGTAATCCCTGCATATATCTATCTGCTGGCGACCTACGAAAAAGACAAAGAAAAAAAAAAGACGAAAAAACAAGCTTTTGTAGAAGCAGTTAGATATCAAGTTGTCATACCAAAGGAAACCTGTCACCGGACTTCCAAAAACTTCTTTGTAGCGACCTCCTGGACCCAAAGCTCGATTTTCCTGCCAGGACAAGACTTTCAGCATTTGGTAAAAGAGAGGAAAAAAAATAAAGAGGGAACAACGCACCGTACTTGTTGAATGAACTCCACTGCAGCTCTTGCATCGATCTGGCAATCTGCAGGGAAAAAAGCCGCAGCTCCTTCTGGACCAAGAACAAGAGCAGGCTCTGCCGTTTGAGCTGTATGAGAGTTCCAGAACTCTACTTGGACTCCAGCAGCAGCAACCTTGTGTAACCTGTTGTGCAAAGCTAGAGACTCCTCACCCCCAGTGGTAAACAACAAACTCCCTGCAGAAACATCAAGAAGATCAACTTCAAGAGAAAACGTTTGTCTTTTTCCTTGGTACCTGTGTCTCTCCACCCAATTTTCTCGAGAGGATCAACGCCAGAAGCTTGTATTTCCGCTACGAATTCGTGCCAGAGTTGGATGCTACGACGAGAAAAATCCCATGTCTTGGAATCCGGATTGAGGTGTCCAGACCATATGTACCCCTGTCCTGAGAAGAAGAAAACCAAGAGATCTATAACGCATAGATCTAAGGTAGAGCAATGAATGGCATACCAGCTCCAGTAGCTCCAGCGCAGATCTTATGGGCCGCCTCCACAACAGTGACGGAGAGATTGGTTTGGCGCAAAAAGCGATTTGCGATAGAGAGACCGATGATCCCGGCGCCAGCAATCACCACATCGGAAGAGCCCATTGCATGGACCTTCGCTGCATTTGGCCATGACTCGAGTGCCATGGTCTAAACCGAAGACAAGGGTTTAGTCACGAATTTTCTAAGAATTATGAACACATACCGAAGCGCTAAGCTGATGTATCGAAGTGGAACTTTGAGAAGATCTCTTCCAGCTTCGCCTGTAAAGCCGCTCGAGCTCCAGCATCCGCCGCATGGCCTCCACCAAAGCTGTCAGCTTCGTCCGTCCAAGACATCGTCCCAGTATCGCGCCTCAAAGCTTCTACTTCTTCACTCTCCTCCGTCATCCCCGCACGGCTGTAGATGTTCGCCATCAAAACGTAGGCGGCACCGTGTCTCTCGTCCAGTTTCAGCACCGAGTCGAAAGCAAGCCTTCCAGCTTCCACATTCCCCCACTTGTGGCAAGCTCCCAGTAGAACCATCCATATTCTCAGGTCCGCTTGCATGGGCATGCTCGCCACCACTGTCACTGCTTGCTCGACTCGGTTGGCCCGGCCTAGAAGATCAACCAAGCAAGTGTAGTGCTTGATGTCCGGAGCAAGGCCATACTTCGTCTTCATCTCCTCGAACAGCTTGAGTCCCTTGTCAACTAGGCCGGCGTGGCTGCACACTCCGAGAACCGAGAGAAAGACCACTCCATCCGGTTTCACTCGATCTTTAGCCATCCTCTCCAAGAGTTCTATCACCTTTTTGCTGTCTCCTTGCAGGCTATATCCTGAGAGTAAAGCGTCCCAAGCCACCAAGTCCTTTCTGGAGATGGAGTCGAATATGTAACGAGCTTGCTCCATGCATCCACACTTCCCGTAAAAGTCCACCAGAGACGTCGCTAGAAGTGGATTACTTTGGAGCCTTGCGCTACATATTTGAGCTTCGATTCGTCGCCCAGCTTCTAGTGCCGAGAGGTTGCCACACGCCTTGAGAGCAGCCATGTAAGTGACGACGTTCGGGACACAGCCTTGGTCTTGCATTCTCGAGAAGAGGCTCAAAGCTAGCTGACTCTCCCCGCTTTCAGCGTATCCCATAATCAAGGACGTCCATGACACCACGTCCCGCTGCCTCATTCTGTCAAAGACGCCTCTCGCATCGATCAGACTCCCACACTTGGCGTAGAGATCCACCAGGCTGCTTGCCACCAGGAGATTCATTTCAACTCCCCTTTCTACTGCTTGACGATGAACTGCCCTGCCTCTTTCCAGACTCTTCGTTTTCAAAACGTTTCCTTCGACCAGCTTCCCTTGTTCTTCAAGTGCCAAGTTGCCACAAGCCTTCAATGCCGCTAGAAGAGTGACACGGTCTGGTTCGAAGCCTTCTTCTTGCATGCTCAAGTACATCTGAAAGGCCAGATTGCTCTGGCCACTTTCTGCGTATCCCCGAACCATGGAAGTCCATGTCACCACTGTGTGATGGAGCATGCAGTCAAAGACCCGGCGAGCGTCCTCCATGCTTCGACACTTGAAGTACATATCCAAGAGCGTGTTTGCTATGTAGACGTCGGAGATGTCATCACGTTGAATCACAGCTGCGTGGATTTGTCTGCCGGTTCGAAGATCTAGCGTGTTGCTGCATTTCTTTAACGTGGCCACCACTCTAAAAATTCTGCCCCTGTTGTCTCTCCTTTTCTCTTCGGTGAAGCAAGCTAGAGTAAAATTTTTTACACTTGTTGTATTGTTCTGGAGAAAACAAACTTTGTTATAGTAAGACTTAAGCTGTATTATGCTGAAGTACCTGATTTGTCACCGTCATTTTGACGCTACCTTATCCAAACGCACAAAACTTCGAGACGGACTAGAAGCTGTTCCTGAGGAGCGCACATTGGAGCGAAAGTTTGAGTAAACTTGAGTGTACCTGTGTGCCTTACAAAGTATAGCCGGCGAGAGAAACTGAAACGTCCTCCCGTTGCCAGCGGACAATTTTGGAGCTGCCTCCACAAGTCTGGATTGGGGAGCAAAGAACACTATATACAAACAACTAGTTCTCATCAGTGTCACTCGCGTTCCCCTCCCCTCCTGCTTCTTCCTCCGTGTCTCCTGCTTCTTCTGCCTCGGCTTCTTCTTGTGAATCCGGCGCTATCTCGTTGATCGGACTCGGAATCTCGTCCTTCACAACCATTGCAGAACTCTGACTGCCCAGTGTATCAATCCTCACGACCGCTGCGTCATCCCTTGCAGCGCCTCTAACTTGCAGGCTATCACTATTTCCAACTTGGCTCGCCAAAACCCTCCTCTCTACTTCATCCTGGGAGTAGTTTCCGTCACTGCCCAGAACTTCCGACGTGACAAGGTCCGCTGTGCATAGACTACTCCTTCGAAGTTGTGTCTGCGAGTCAGTTCCTCGAAGTCCCCTTGCAAGTACAGGAGTTCCTGGTACCTGTCCAGCATCCTCGGTTTCGTTTCTTTCGAGCAGAGGAGTCCCTGGTTCGTTTCCGGCAGTTTCAGGATCATCTCTTTCCAACGGAGTCCCCGGTACTTCTGCTGCAGTGATTTGAGTTTCCATAATTGCAGCATCATCCCTGACAGTCGCGTGTTGTCGTGCTTGATCTATATCGAGAGGAATCAACTGTGTAGCATCCCACTGTGTCACGTTCAGCTGCGTGGGTATGTCTTCTCGAGCTTGTGTCTGATTGTTGTGCTCCACTCTGTAGCCACTGGTTTCCTCTGCCATCTCGTTTAGATCGAGCGTTGCAAGTAAGGTCTTGTCTTGAGTAGCATTTACGTGTGTGCCATTTGAGCCTTCGTCCCTCATCGTTTCGCCATCCTTCATTTCCTCGTCGACGGTCTTGGACTCACTGTGCTCTTCACCGTTGTTATAACAGTAGCCAGCAGGAGCGGCATTAGCATACTCCGCATCATCGTCCTTGAGTGTTTGCATCATGGCTTGAAGTTGGAACTGTTGCTTCTGCTGTAACGCCGAAATCTCTTCCGCGGTTGACTGGAAAGCCCTCAACTGTGTCTCTCTGGAAAGGCAGCTTTTGAGCAAAGTTCTTAAGGATATGTGTGCTCTTACCTCAGTAAAATACGGTCTCTGGCACCTTCAAATCGTTGGCTTTCAAGTTTGAGCTTGTTCAACACTTCCTCTTTCTCCAGCTGAAGAGAGGAAATTTTAATATGCGCTGCGTCCTTTTCATGCTAGAAAGAAAGAAAGACAGTGAATCAAACGTCAAACAAAATTTTCCAACCTTGCATTCCTCCAGATTGTTTAGAGACATTTCAAGGTCCCGTATCGTTTTTTCCAGCTCCTGAACACAATACGTTAGTCCCATAGTCAAGCTTGTTAAAAAAAGCCTCCAACCTGTCTCAGGACTGCAGATGCATGTTGCTCAGTGTTCAATTGGATTTGTAGTTCTTGACCCTTCTTTTCAAAATTCATACGAGTCTCCCTTTCTTCTTCCTGCATGCCCTGTTATTGTGTCCAAGTTCAAGTTCAAGGCTACTGCACTTACCAGTTGCTTTCGCTGGCTTTCGATTTGTACTCGGTACTCGGTCACAGAGTCCTGAGACAAATCATAAAAACAATTAAGAAGCAGCATCATGATGATTTTTTCTTACTTGAAGTGCGGCCATTTTGTCTTCCAGCTGCCCTCGTTGTCGAGAGAAAGCTTCAGCTTGTCGATTCGAGTCTTGCTCTGCTTCAGTTCGAATCCTATCTACAGCTGATTTATGCTGTGCTTCAATTTCTTGTCTTTCTTTCCTCCGCTGACTTCTTTCATCTTCTAACTGTTTCTCGAGCTCTTCCCTATTCGCTTTGAAGCTGCTAACGGAGCCAATATCATGCTAAAAATCTAAATAAACTCAAATGCTTACTTCTTTAAGGCTTCTTCAGCCTCCATTCGTGACTGTGCAGCGCCCTTCAACCTATTGTTCAAGTCCTCTATCACGCTTTCTTGTTGAACGCATTTCGCAGAAAATTCTTCCATGCTTGAAGCCTTTGTTGACAGCTCTGCTTGCAGGTCCGCCAGCTTTTGCGTATACACAGATTTACATTGATCGACGGCTTCCCTAACGATCTGCATAAGATGTAAATCCTCACATACGATTTTTTATAAAGTACTTACTGATTCTGTGGAGGACTTGGCTGCTCTCAAGTCCGCGTTGAGGCTATCACTTTTATTACACTCGAGCTCCAGTTTCTGTCGAAGCTCCTGTGCATGGTTACACATCAGACAAATACTTATATAGCTTTGTCACCAGATTGATTAACGATCACCTGATTGCTTCGCTCTAAACGCCTTACATCTGCTAGATTTACAGGTCCATCTCCAATACCTGATCCGGACATTTTCATTCTTTTGCCATCCTCGTTCTTGGACAGCTCTACTTCTATAATCAGGAGAACAAATTGTCAACATAGACAAGCAAAAGAACTCGCAGATACTTAGAGCATGTACCTACCTGGTTTTCTTTTCAAACCAGAACTGGTATCCCGAAAGACGTACGCAAAGCCATTCTCTGCAAGAGCTACTTAACGAAGTTGGAAAATCCATGTAGGAAGAAAAAAATACCAAGTTCCGGAAGAGCTGCCAGCGATATGACATCTCCGTGCTGGAGACGAAACTCGGGAGAATCTTTCCTCAACCTCTGGCCATTCACATAAGTCCCATTTGAGCTGAAAACGCAGCACCCTCCAGACGTGGAGCTCTCGAAGCAGCATAGAAACAAGTACCTGGAATCTTTAATGTACACCGCCCCGCTTTTCCCATCATCAGGAGTGATATTCTTGCGGAAAATTCGGCAATGCCGGCCACTTATGCTCGGCGAATCGAATAGAAACAGAGTGTCCGCGACCATGCGCCCCAGGGTATGCTCTGGGAGTGTCAAGAACATATGTTGCCCCTGAAAATCACGAAATCAGGCAATCCTAGCGTGGGAATCCCCGGCGCGAGACAAATACCTGAGCTCGTTTCTTCGCAGCGTCCGAGAGAGCCGAAAGCACGCCCCATGTCCGATCATTCACTCCCGCGGGCAGCGGCTCCTGCAATATTTGCTCCGCCATAGCTATAGAACCCTAACAAGAAGCTCAACCCAAAAGCCCTAGTCAAATATCCGCTATAATTTAAATCAAACAGGCGCGCGAAGAATTTCAAGCGTTCAATCTTTGCATTTGGACTCCAGTTTGCTCCGAGGAGGAAGAAGCCTTGGCAGCTCCGGGATTGTCATCGGCGCTGGCAGCAGTGGCAATCGCAGCAGCTTCCGCAAGATCTGGCGCCGCTAACACTGGCGGAGGAGGTGCTGGCGCCGCTTGCGCGCCGCCACTCTCCAAGTCCTGCTCCTCCTGATCACCACACCGATTCCCAAAGAACTTCCTCCCACTCCTTCTCGGCCGCTGCTGCTGCTGGAATTGGTGATTCCTCGCGTGATTGTGCAGTGGATTCAAGTTCTCCACCGGATAGTAATCCTCCCCGACTGCCCGGAGCATATGATAGACCTCGTACATGGAGGGCCTCTCCTTTGGGAAGGATAGAACACACGAGCACGCGATCTTGAGCACTTGCATCACCTCCCTCCGCCGCCCGGAGCTTCCGTTGCTGCTATCGCCATTCCCCGCCGCCAGCAGCACCGACGCCTCCGCCACCAGCGACGGATCCACCGCCTCGGAGACATGGCCGCTCTTGAAGAGCTCGCCAATCCAATCCACCAGGCTCCTCCTGGAGGAAGAAGACCGCGCGGCAACTCCACCCTCACTGTCACCTCCACCATCACCAGTGTCACCGCCACCACCACCGCCGCCGCCACCGCCGACGCCAGCGTTACCATCGTTGGGCCGCCGCCCAGTCACGAGCTCCAGCAACACGACCCCAAACGCGTAGACGTCCCCCTTTGGTGTCGCGGTCGTGGACGCGGCGCTCATGCTAGTCGCCCGCGACAGTGAATACGTCGTGGAGTAGTCCTCGGGCGGCACGTAAAAACCATCCTCGTCACTGTTACTCTTACCGCCGGCGCCACCGGGCCTACCGCGCCCGGTAACTATCAGCCTGGCCAGGCCGAAGTCCGTGATTCGCGGCTCCAGGTCCTCGTCCAGTAGAATGCTGGCCGAGGTGATACCTTTGTGGACGAGTCGCGGGTTACAGCTGTGGTGAAGCCACGCAAGCCCGCGGGCGGTACCGACCGCCACCTTAAGCCGCGCGGCCCAGTCGAGCCGCCCCGAGGTGGAGCCGGAGGAGCTGTCGCCCGGAGTGGATGCCGCGGCGGTATGCAGCCGATTGAAGAGGTTACCGCACGGCATGTGTTTGTAGACTAAGAGGCGCTCGTTGCCCGCGATGCAGTAGCCGAGGAGGGGCACGAGGTTGCGGTGGCGGACCTTGGCCAGGGCCTCCATCTCCGATCGAAAGTGCTTCTCGCCCGCGCTGTGCATGGCGGCGCGGCGGAGCTTCTTCACCGCCAGGACGGAGCCGTCGCGCAGCGTCGCCTTGTAGAACACTCCAGTCCGGGACATGGCGATGACGGCGTCGCGGGAGAATCCGGCGGTAGCGGCGGCGATGTCCGAGAGCCGGATCTTGACGATGGGCTGCTCAAACATGGAGACGAGTACAGCGCTGGGCGACTTGATCCGCCGGAGCCACGCGTTATCCAGGAGCTCCTCCTCCAGCTCCGCGCCACTCTTGCGCCGCCGCCGCTGCCCACCCAGCACCACCCAGCAGCAGAGGAAGCACGCCGCCAGCAGCGCGAGCGTGCCGCCGGCGGCGACGCCGGCCACCACGGCGGTCCGGGCCCGTGCCGCGCGGTGCGCCGCCGCGGCGCCGGCGGCACCGCCCTTGCAATTGGCGCCCAGCGGCGCGCCGCACAGCGCCTCGTTGCCCGCGAAGGAGAGCTCCGTGAATGCGTGGAATGTGTATGGAATCGGCCCCGAGAGGCGATTGTCCGCGACATTGAAATCCCGGAGGCGAGGGAGGAGCCCAATCTGGCCCGGGATCCCGCCCTCGAGCCGATTCCTCTGGAGGCGCAGCTGATTGAGGTAGAGGCACTGCGAGAGATCCTGGGGGATGATCCCGGAGATGTTGTTCTGCGAGAGATCGAGCTTGACGAGGTAAGGCAGCATCTGGCAGAGATCGGCAGGGATTGGCCCCGTGAAGAAGTTGCTCGAGAGATCCAGGCCAGTGAGGCTGCTACACTTCCTGAGACCTCGCGGGAAGGATCCATGGAGTCCAGCGCCGGGGAGGGAGAGACTATAGACCTTGATCTCCGAGGGATGGAGGCACTGGACGCCCAGGAAGTTGCAAATGTTGGCAGCGCTGGTGTTGAAATCCCACGACTGGAGATACTCGCCCGCTGTGGTGACCGAGCTCTTGATCTCGCGCAGGCACTCCACATCCTCCTGCGCCGCCACCGCCATCGCCAGGAGCGCTAGCACCGCTAGCCGCATTGCCATCCCGCCGCCGCGAGCTACTGCATCAAAACGCACAACCCATGAGATCCTCTCCGCGACCCAGATGCTCGATCCCGACGCTGAACAGACCCAACAAGCCCGATTCCACGACCGGTGGCTCGATCGATCGACCCACAGTCCCAATCACTCCAGCCGACCCATTAAAGAGGGGGAAGAACACACATACCCGTGGCGCGAGATGATCGCTCGCTCGCTCCTTCTTCGTTTGTCTCCCTGCCTGGCCTAGGCCGCCATCGCCCTCTCGCTCAGAGCTGCCCACACGCACTTGCCATTGCCATCACTGGGGAGAGAGAAGCGGGGATATTCCCCGCATTTTCGCCATAGCCAGAGCAAGCGCACGAGTTTACACACTGGATGCTTCTCTCCCTCCTCTCTCTCTCCTTTGCGCTCCACTCCTCGAGATCGAGACGATGTGGTGATTTAAACCCTACATTGTCTATCTAATCGAGGAAGACCACACTGGAAAATCAAAGAAAAAGAATGGATTTGATGATCTCTCTCTCTCTTTCTCGTCTTTCTCTGTGACACTGTTCCACTGTTCTTCCCTGGTGCTCGCTTCTTCACAGCGACCAGACCACTATAATGGCTTTGACAGGGAAGCAAGCAAAGAATATACACAAATCTTTCTCTTCTTTTCTATGATTTGATGAGAACAAGAGAGCTTTTTTAGGTGGTGGCTAGAGTTACAAATCCTAGGCACGTGATGTTCTTGATTCGATCAAAAACAAACCAAGCTCTGGCTATGGCGGAAGGAAGAAGCAAGAACACGGAAAGAGCCTCTGTAGTTTTTAGAAAGTTTGTATACCATTCATAGAAGAAGATTGAGATTGTCACAGGCGTTGTCACGGTATATTTACAGGTAAGTTTCGTTCTTCTTCTTCTTTGGTACTTGGCTTTGTTTCTTTCAATCGCGCTCGCTGTTGGTGTTTGTGTTGTTACAAGGTGGGCCGCGAATGCGTTTTTGGAGATGCTCCAAGCTCGCGACCCGTTGCATGGAAGGCGTGCGATTCATTTTGCTGCCACCACCTCCGCTTCCGGAGTTTTCCTGCTGCGGGCTTTGATGATCTTGGTGGTGAGCGTGATCTTCCTCGTCGATGATTTGGAAAGCCGGAGACTTCTGCTGATGCGGTCGGTTGCAGAAGTTCATCGATCCATTAGAGCCAGCTCTGGAGACGACGTTCTCAGCCATCTTCACCTGGATCATCTCAAAGCTGTGAGTAACGACGAACCCAAGGAAGTAAAAATGGGAATTTGTAAACCTTTGCTCGCAGAGCTTCAACGTCGGACTTGAGCACCCGGTTGTCCACGGCAGCATCGCCAAACTTCTTGTTGATGTCGTTGAGTTGCTTGAGCAGCGTCGAGTTCTCCACTCTCAGCTGAGCAACTTGCATCTCGAGATCGCTCATGTGAGCTTGCTTCCGTCGCCTCGACCTTCTCGCGGACTCCCTGTTGGATAGCATCCTACGCAACAACCAAAAGTGTGAAAAATACTACAAACGAACAACGAATGAAATACGATCGAAATAGTTGAGGAAGCATTAGACAAATCCAGTCACACACAAGGCACACACAAAGGCACCAACAACACGCAAACAAGAACAATGAACAACAGGCATGAAGAGCAAGAGATTAAAAAAAAGCTTCCATACCGTCTCATGCGTTTCATGTCGCTGGGCTCTGTCGATTGCTCCACAGTGCTGTGGTCTGCGTCCCCTTCCTCGTCATCGGAGTGCTCGCGGGAAGAACCACTGGTAGCTGATGGCTTGTCTTTGTACTCGGGCTTCGGAGGTAGAGCTGGAATCCCACCGGCGACCGTGGCGTTCTTGCTGCTCGAATCATTCGATCCTTTCCGGTTGCTGGCCTATACATCCCAAACAAAGATTAACTTCGGACTATCTCCAGCATACTTTCTGGCAAGCAAAGCTCATGGATAAGGACAACACAGGCGAAAGAAGTCACGTAAAGAAAAAACCAAAGCTCTGAAACAAATCCAAGGTTCTACCAATGAAGAACACACACAAAAGCTAAACAAACCATGAAAGCAAACAACGAAGAAAATCTAGAAAGAAAGATGGCTAACGAGGAAAAGCTCACTGACAACGAAGATGAAATGATCTCTAGCAATGAAGATCACACACCAGGATCTCTAGCAATGAAGATTATACACCACGAAGATGAAAGGATCTCTAGCAACGAATATCACACACCACGAAGAAGGAACTACAATTCCCCCAAGGAAGCTATAGGCATACCCGTGTGAGAGCGACGGCGGCACACGCGAGCTCCAGCCTCTTCTTGAGATAATCCTGATACGCCTCTGGATCGAGCTGGCCGAATTTGCTCTCGCTGCTGGATAATCTCGAGAACAAGGGATCTAGCTGCCGATCCTCCACCTCTTCCACACCGCTCTCCTCTGTCACCGGCGCTAGCCTGCTCCCAATCCCAGCCCCTCCAGCAGCGCTGGCCTGCTGTGGCGCACCTGGAATGCTCGCAGATCTAGCTCCATCCCCTTCTTCCTGGATCGCATCGTCGTGCTCGCGAAGAAACTCCTGGAATGCCCATTCCGAGTCGCTGCGATTCATACCTCGCGCTTGCGCCGGAGGAGGAGGCGCCATCGCTGCTCCTCCCGCGATGGAGGATGATCGTCGTCTAGACTCCACAGGTAAAACCCTCATCTCTTTGGGATTAAGTCAAACAAGAACAGCTCCTTATACAAACAAAAAGTAAAAGTGTTAAACGTGGCAAATGTGGAATTTGTATAATCGAAAGATCTACAGAATAGAAGAAAAAAATTTATCTTTTTCTTTGAGATTTCTAGCCAACCATGATCACGTCCCTCAAGCTCAAGCTGTTCCTCATTTGCCCTCTTCCAACGCCACCATTCCCATTCCTCATCATCGTCACGAATTCGTTATAGTCGATCCTTCCATCCTGGAGGAAACAAAAGAAGAAATGAAATGATCGTGACGAGAACTGTGCTAGCTTACGTTGTCTTGATCGATTTCCCGCAGCATATCCTCGAGCAAATCGTCGCCCATGTAGTGCTCCTTGCAAGCGCTTTGGAGCTCGTCAATGGTGATATATCCGCTGCTGTCTCGATCGAAGTATGAGAAGGCAGCGAACAAGTTCTCCTCGCGCTCGATCTTGTTCAGGTGCAGCGTTGCGGTGATGAATTCGGTGTAGTCGATGGTACCGTTCTTGTCAAGATCAGCCTGGGAGCGAAAGTAGAACTTTAACTCTTCGAAAGTCATTCCTGAAACTTACGGCGTCCATGAGAGCGTGGATCTCCGACTCTTTCAAGTTGGATCCCACTCTCTGCAAGCCGGCTTTGAGCTCGTCGAAAGTGATCGCTCCGCTGTTATCAGCGTCCATCATTTTGAACATCTCTTTCAAGCCAGCGATCTCGTCCTCGGTGCATCTCTCGGCTATCACCTGGAAAATCAATCCAAGAGAACTTTTAAGATCAAACTCGAAAGGGACAGAGAACTTGAGAGTTACCCTCAAAGCGATCTTTTTTATCTTGTTCATCGCGGAAAAGTGTTTCAACCGAGACAGAACAGCGGAATCAATCGGTGCATCTGGTGCGACACCTCCTTCCATGATCCACGGATGAGCTACAAAAAGAGAGAGAGAGAGAATGTAAGATCGAGCTTAAAATGTTCTAGAGAAACCAACTTAGAACTTCTTGCGCTTTGAGTCGTTTGCGTGGATTGCGAGTTAGCATCTTGCGGATCAAGTCCTTGGCGCTCTCCGAGATCTTTGGCCATGGATCCGACTCAAAGTCGATGTCGCCTTGGAGAACTTGCTCAAATATACCTTGCTCGGTTTCTAAAGAAGAAAAATCAAAGTGAGAACTTTGCATGCATCAAACAAGAGCTCCTAGTTCACTAGTATATCGAGAGAAAAAAAAACGTGTTTTACCAGCCCAGAATGGAGGAACTCCACTTAGAAGAATGTATAGAATCACTCCCGCGCTCCACACATCGGCCTCGGGTCCATACTGCTTGCGAAGAACCTCTGGAGCAACGTAGTATGGGCTCCCCACGACATCTTTGAAAACCTCGCCTGTTTCAATCCAGACAACAACAGAGAACTAAGGAACAAACGAAAAACCAATCAAAGAATCCACGATCTCAGGCATTGCTGTGCAAACAGAATTGTTTTCGCGATGGTGACGAACGATGCGACTTGTTCATGCAAACAGACCTCCACTGCTGCTTTGACGCGATCACACTAATGCACAAATGCTCTCCAGTGGAAAAAAAAAACGGAGAAATTTATATGGTCGCTAACGGAAAAGAATGGAGCTCCAATTGTCAAACTCAAGCTCACCAATCCAAGTTGACACGATCATGCAAGCCAGAAAAGAAAGAAAGAAAGAAAGAAAAGTTCACGTCCATGGCACCAAGATTTAGAAAAAAAACACCACACATCGATCCATGACGCGAAGTCGAGACAAACAGCAACAACAAGAAAAAAAAATTCCACGAGGAGGAACAGCGCCCACAAAACGCAAGCGCGTCCATGGATAACTATTCCAGCAAATAAAAAACGCAGCGAGAAGGAACCAAAAAAAAAAAACCAGCCAGGAGAACGAAAAAAAACGATGATCTCTATCGAAGAAGAGCAAGCAAACAAAGAGATGGCCTCTTCTCCTTGATGCGATGAGAATAAGAACACGCAAGCGCAAAGACCCAAAATCCCCGGAAGAACAAGAGATATGATCAGTCGCTTACCCGGCTGGAAGAACACCGAGAGCCCAAAATCCGTGGCCTTGAGCGGCGAATCCTCATCGGCATTGGCGAGCAGGAAATTCTCGGGCTTCAAATCCCTGTGCATCACTCCCAGCGAGTGGCACGCCACCACCACGCCCACAATCGTGCGCGTCAGCTGCGCCGCCTTGCTCTCGCTGTAGTGCCCGCGCTGGATGATCCGATCGAAGAGCTCGCCGCCCGCGCAGAGATCCATGACGAGGTGGACGCAGCTGGAATCCTCGTACGCGCCCTTGATCTCCACCACATTGGGGTGGCCCGAGAGGTGATGCATTATGTGGATCTCGCGCCGGACGTCCTCCACATCCTCCAGCGAGATGAGCTTGCGCTTGGGGATGGATTTGCAGGCGTAGTGCTTGCCGCTGGATTTCTCGGTGCACAGGTAGGTCGTGCCGAATTGGCCCTGCCCGAGCTTCCGGCCCAGCACGTAGAGATCCTTGACATTCTCGGTGCGCCGCCCAAGAACAGAGGATGTGAGGCCGCCATGGCGGGGCGACACCACCGCCGCCGCCGCCGTGGGTCGGGAATCGCCCATCACCACCACCACCGCTTTCCTGGCCCTGGCAGCGGCGCCGCCGCCCTGGAGCTCCTCCTCCGCGATGATGACGCTTGTGGGCGGCGCTTGTTGGGTCGATTGCTTGGATCCTCCCGGCTCCTCCCAGCTGCCCTGCGCGATCTTGTCCCTCTCCTGCGCGATCCAGCCGCCCTGGAAGAATAGCCAGCTCCTGCCCGCTAGGCTCCCCGATCCTATGCACGAATTCCCCATGTCTTTCTCATCTCATCACGACTTTGATCGGTCAATCCAGACTGCTGGAGCCTTTCTACTCAGCAAGTAGCCTAGACTTTCTACTAAAACTAGTGAGCGAGGACATTCTCTTCCTCTCTCTTTCCTGAGGAACAGCGTTTCACGGGATTCGAAACCCAGACCGGTTCTATGCCGCGTCAAACACACCTAATCGACGGCGCAGGGCCCGCCACGTGGGCAGATGCTCTCGCGCGTTCACTGGGCATGGACCCGCGTTCTAGAATTGTATCCTAGCTTTGGGACAGAGAAATTTACGTGATCTTTTCCTTTGATGAAATGGTCATTTAGCACACAAAAATCCTCCACGTAAAGATCTTTTGATCTTATCGATGGGCATTTAGCAAAGCTACACAAAAATTCCACATAAAGAATGCAAAGATATATCTATAGACAATGTCAATGTTGTATGGTTGAGGCTGTGTGTATGTGTGTGTGTGTGTGGGGTTCTTTAGAGGTCGATCTCGTCAATGCCCAGCATTCTTGGGCCCGGGATGGTTTTTCCAATGGCTTTGCCGCAGAGAATAACGTTTTGCGGGATCCATGTCTCAGTTCTCGTGGAGTTCTCAGGATTAAACACGCGGGCATAGCCTTCCTGGCCAAGGTACTGGCGTCTCAAGCACTGGGACCGGATGTTCCACATCCCTACGTTGTCTACCGAGAAGAGAATCGCCGTCCAGCCTCTCGGGTACACCTACAAGTTGATCAAAGTTGATAGTCAGCGAACAAAATTTCGTTTCTTTTAGTGTTTTTGGGTGATCGACCAACCTGTGTTGTGGAGCGTGAAACAGCGTCGACCAAGTTGTACTTGGATCGGCTGCTGGGCGACCATGTTTCGTTGAATCCAAACCTGGAAGAGCAACCACAATGGATAAGTGATCCAATCCAATCGAGGTCGATCCATACCCGACCACCCAGAAGCTCATCCCGTCCAAATGCCACGACTGGATCTCGTTCTCCGGGTTGACGAATACGAGCTCCACAAAGCTCTTGTAATCCAGCTCGAGAACCGACGTCTCCATCACCGGCGAGCCCACGGCACTGGTTCGCATCGATCCCCGCGTGAAAACTCCGTCGATATTGTAGAAATCCGCGAGCTTGAGCGGGGTATCGGGTGTGAGATACGACTGCCCGTTGATCGCGAACCGCGCCTGGTTGTTTAGAGTCACGGAGGAGCTCGAGAGCTGGATCACTCTCGTGATGGGAATTTGGCCATAGTGGTAAGATCCTTGCGGGTTGGGCCGCGCGGCACCGGTGGTCAAATTCCACCTTAAAGAAGAAAAAGTGTCAGTGGGCTCGGGCAAGTTCTCGGTCATACCGCGCGGCACTGCTCGGTCTGGCAAGACTGTACCGCGCGGTACTACTTACTTGATAGATAACGCCTGGTTTAGCGAAAAGTTGACGTCCAAGGGATCCGGGCCAGCCGGGATGGTTCCAGATGCTGCAGTGTTGGAATTTTGGTAGTGAAGAATCGCGACGCCGTTGAGTGAGCCGGAGCTGAATTTGGTGCTTGCGACAATGTAGTAGTCCGCGGGGCTCTGATCCATAGTGACGAGCACCGAGTAGGATTGCCCGAGATGGATGTCGAGCGAATCGACGCATGTCTTGGCGGTGTAGGAGCCCTCCGTTTCCACCACGCAGAGCTTGTGGGACTGGATCCGGACGTTGAGCGATTGGGCGGTTCCAACGTTTGAGATACGGAAGCGGTAGATCTTCCCTGCGAGATTGGAAGTGCCCAAGTTGATCGATCGAGAAGTTTTTCGCAGGATCGAGTGGGAGTGATGCTTACCAGATTCGACAGTGAACTTCTCAAAGTTGGCATTGCTACCACCCGCAATGTATGGTGCCTTGCCATTCATAAGAACAACGTTTGGTCTTCCAATACCTTGGCTCTTATCCAGTCGTGATCGGCTCGACTGTTTAATCACACAAAGATTTGTCCACCAATCTTGATGTGAGATCGTTGCAACAAGAAAAAGAAAGAAAAAAAGAACGCACGCGTTCTTCCACTGACCCGATAGTCTCGAAGCTGCCAATCACCGGCCAAAAGCGTGAAATCGTCCGCGGGCGGTAGGAAAGGAACGGCAATCACTACGCGATTGGCGATCTGGATTCCACCATAGCCTCCCGCGGCCTTGTGGAAATTGATGGAAGGATAGTAGAAGAAGGTCCCGATTTGATCCTTGACTTGGAAATTATACTGCCACGACTGGCCGGGCAAGATCGGGCAATTCGTTCCCGAGACGCCGTCTTGCCAGGATGATCGCCGCTGCTGGATCCCATTCCTGGATCATGGATCACGAGATTGGAAATGGATTGATGGAAACAAAACCGAAGTGATCATACCAGTGAAAGAGCAGGGGCTCGTCGAGGCGATTCGTCACGTTGATGTGGAGATTGTTGTTCGTGGTGGTCTTGATCGTGGGTCCTGGAAATTGGTTGTTGATCGCGATCACCTGGGAAGAACAATGTGAGATTTGAGACCCCAAAGAAACAGAGCATAGCAAATAGTGTGTGGTGTATGCGTGTGATGATTGATTGATTGATCGATCTTACTCTTTGTGTGGTGTCCAGCAGTGGCAAATTCTGAAATGTGACTACCCAGTCGAGGAACTGATCTGGATCCGCTGCCTGTGCCGTCGATGCTAGTGCAAGAACTGCGAGAATCGCGAGGAATTTGGCGATGACGGCCATGTTTGTCGTCGTGAGGAACAGAGCGCTCTGTTTGAAGAAATGGCGGATCAAATTGCAGAATTCGAGCGCCTTTCCTATCAGAGCTGTTGAATTTCGCGGCCAAAGATCAAAGACGATGGTGACCGTGGAGTTCCTCTGGCGATTTATAGCTGAATTTGCTGAGAGAAGGAGAATTTCAAAAGAAGATGAAGCTTCAAAGCAAGATCGTGCGACTCAAGTTCCGCAATGAGCTGCGTCCAGCGCACATGAACTGATGGAGCGCCCAAAACAAAGTCGACGATTCAAGCCGAAGATTCTTGGCAGTAAAAACCGGAATTGATGATAAAAAACACCTCACAACTAGCACCAAAATTCATGAAAATTCCGCGCTTAGCCGCAAAGCCAGTTGATCGATCAAGTTACCGATCGACCTAGCTTGCAATTCCGGTGCGAGCGCGTGAGGTTTACTTGCAGCTCCGCGCCCGCTGCTTTGCACAGCAATTCCACGCGTCCTCTAGAACACACGCAGCGGGCGTGCGTGGGGGCTAGCGGCCGTTGGATGCACTAATCCGCCGGCCACGAATACATAGCGTGGCGATATCGGCACTGTTGGATGTTAACGCGTTGGACGGACAGTAGGCAAAAGAATAAATAGCCATGGCCACTGTTGCGATTGTGTCTATATGTTGTTTCTTTCTCAAGATGTTGCGTAAAGTAACGTGCATTGGATGAATGGATACGTGTGCCCTAAGTTTGAATTCAAATATTGGAATATTCGAAAGCCCTAGAACAGAGTTTACGTGTAATTATGAATTCAAACGTTGGAATATTCGCAAGCCCTAGAACAGAGTGAATAGCGCGGGCCGGCCAAGAGGCTATGGGTGCCATTTGTATCGCCGCTTGGACTCTCTAATAAATCCACGCTCGGGCTTTGAGCTGTAGCGAGCAACGCGATGAGTTCGCGGACAAATCAACGCTGAAGCGTTTCTACAATCCATCGATCAATCAATCAATCGCTCTGGAGCTTTTGCCAAAAGGAAGAATGGCGAGGCCAATCTGGTGGAAGGGCGATGAGGCGGTCACTCTGGATCAATCGCCCTCGCAGAGATCGTCCTACTATGGGGAGGAGGACGAGAACTACGATTTTAGCTTCCAGAGTAGCTTTCAGGCATCGCCCATGGCTAGAACGATCCATGCGGCCTCTTCGCCAATGGGCAATGCCGGCTTCAGTCCCTCGCAGCTGGGCAATGGTCCGGATCGCGTGTTCGTGGTTCCTGTCCGGGGATCCGAGACGCCAATCACCAGGTCCAAGATTCCTCCTCCTCCGCGCGGCCGGATGGGCAGCACCACGCCCGAAATCGAGCGCCGGCTTGCCAATGCCGAGGCCGGCACCGTCCAGGGCGCTGCGCTGGAGATGTATCGGGTGCTCAAGAAGAATGGATTGGCCGCCCAGGCGGAGAAGGCGATCAAGCGGCTCAACAGTGGCATTAGCGGCGCGGCGGCGGAGGAATCCCTGCTGGGGATGGAATTCATCCTCAAGGATGGGATCGTGAGCTTCCTCAGGGAGCTCTCCAAGCTCGCGCCTCCAGTTCCTCAGCAGGTAAATCGATCGCTCGCGAAAATATTTTTAGGGTTCTTCATTTTCCCGTTGTCTACAGGTAGTGAGGTTTTCTGGCGTGCGCCTCAGCGTCTCGCAAGAACAGGCGCTAGGGTATGAGACATTCGGCGGCAAGCTGCTGGGATGCTTCTTGGGGCCGCTGCGCAATCTACTGCTGGACAGGAAGACGATCAAGAGGAAGATCGAGGTGCTCAAGGATCTGGATGGATTTATCATGCCCGGCAGCACTACGCTGCTCTTGGGGCCTCCCGGGAGTGGGAAAAGCTCGTTGCTCAAGGTATTTCTTCAGCCGCATTCATGTGTTTGCTTGGGTAGAATGTTCTTCTTTGGCGTTTTTTTCCTGGAATCCGTGATGGCCGTATTCTCATGGTCTTGTTTCCTTCTTCGTTCAAGTTCTTAGATTGTTCCACCGCAAGGTTCTTCATTTGTCGTCTGGGATCTTTCTCTTTTAGTTTTTGTTTTTTGGTAATCAGCTTTCGACTTTTTCCAGGTGCTCGCCGGGCGATGTGAATCCAACAAAACCACTAAACTACAAGGAATAGTTTCTTACAATGACCGACTAGCTTCCGAGGTCGTCCTTACTCGACTCATTGCTTATGTCAATGGACAAGTGAACAGGTATTAAAAGCTTGTAAATCTTCCAGCTCCAGGTACTAACATTGAGCGTTTCTTCAAGGCATCTGCCGTTTCTAACAGTTCGCGAGACGCTAGAGTTTGCTGGGGATTGCACGCAAGGGGTCCGACCAAAGAACTTCAGTCCCAGCATGCGGAGGTACTTTGCCCAAGCTCTAGTGCAAGGGCAGGATCCATACCTGGAGTATGTTCTTCATGTTCTGGGGCTCAAGGCCGTGGAAGATAAGCTCGTTGGAATCGGCCAAGACGGTCTAAGTGAAACAAACAGGCACAGACTTACAAGTGCTGAGCTAGCAATCGGGACTTACGCAGTAATGATCTATGACCAGCCTTGCTACGAGCAGGACTCGCAGGCAACGTATGATCTCGTCTTCACCTTGCGTGCGATAAGCCGCATACAACGGTCTTCTGCGGTGATGTCGCTGGTTCAAGTATCTCCAGAAGTTTTCGAGCTTTTTGACCGGGTGATAGTCTTGGGAGATGGACAGATACTTTACCAGGGACCACGACAAGACGTCTTGGATTACTTCTCTGTACTGGGGTATGTTCTATAGCTTGGCTTTCGAGTTTATCTTAACATGGGATTTTTTTCTCGCTATGCAGATTTTCGAAACCGTCTCATGTTGACACAGCTGCATTCTTGCAAGACATTGGAGCAGGAGAAGGCGGTCAATACGTAAAAGGAAACCGGCAACTATATGGGATTGAAGAGCTCGTCGAGGCTTACAAATCCTCAGACTTGTACAAAGACATCGTCCGGATAGTGTCTAGTGACGATGTTGCGTTTACGTACTGGGTGGAGCATGAGCCTAGCATTGGTTTGTCAGTGCGTAAATCCTCAAACGGTGCAGGTAAAGTGTTTGGAAGTGTTTTATTTGTGTTTTAACCAGCCTTGTACATTCATTGCAGAGGTGGTAGTAAGTAGACTATCCACTAAAGTCGACCAAGCTCAAGGAATTGAGAGTACTGGGCATATCCAAGAAGGTGACATTGTCACTGGAATTTCTCTGAGGAACGGAAGGATGCAGTATATTGCAGTAGGATCGAAGATAACCCGGAAGAGCTATGCTGATGATATATCCAAGGTTTTGGAAGGGGCTAGAGGACACGTCCGACTCCAAGTAGAGCGAAGAGCAACAGAGCAGGAAGTCGAGAGCTCACAACCAGCGTTTGTGCAAACCTGGTGGGAGTCGACAAAAACAGTCACCAAGCGTCAGCTACGATTTGCAACTCGTCTCAAGATACTTGTTATCTTGCGTCTCATTCAAGTTGGTATCGACTGTTCCTTTCTTCATTCATGCATGATAAGTTTTACAGGTTGTGATCTTGGGGATTTTCGGGGGAGCTATATTCTATAGCTTCGGTGGATCTCTTGATCCGGGAGAGATGAACATTGTTCGAGCGATCGGCTTCGTTTCTACTTTCAGTATTATGCTTGTCAACGTTGTTCAACTTCCGGTGCACATGATTCAGCGGCCGGTTTTTTACAAGCACAGAGCGCAGCGGTTTTTCAGAGTTTCCTCGTATTTAGCAGCTCAGAGCATCGTCAACCTTCCACAGTCTATTATGGAGGCAAGGCGCCCATTGCATTTTACTTGTGGATTCTGACCTGGGATTTGTTGTGGCAGGCCCTTCTGTACAGCATTCCAGTGTATTTTCTTGCAAGACTTTCACTGGAAGAAGCTGGACTTCATTACATTCAGTTCTTTTGGCTATTAGCGTTAGTGGCATACATGGGGTCTTTTCTTGTCATTTTTCTGAGTACAATTACTCCAGTTCTCGAAGCTGGGAACGCTTTAGCAGGTTTGTTTTACATTTTTCTTATATTTGGTCTAACTCGGGATCGTGTGTCAGGTTTGGTGGTTTCTCTCGGTTTATTGTTTTCCGGATTCGTTATCTTTCCGAGCTTGACTCCAAGCTACTGGAAGTGGATGCTTTCGGCCAATCCGCTCCGTTGGGGAAATGTTATATTCTGCATGGCCGAGTTCCTCAATCGCTACCATGAATCTTGCCAAGACTTTCAGCAACTTCTGTTTTGCCGGAAATATCCAGATCTACCAGTTGGCCGGGCGTACCTCGAGTTTTTCCAGCTTGTTTCGGAGAGAAAATGGATGGCAATATCCTTCGCAATTATTGCTGCTTCGGTTCTCATTCTGGCGCTCGCTTCTTACTTGGGACTCAGCAAAGTCGTCTTTTCGGAAGTAAGTCCTTCCTTGCCAAGCGAGCCTGCAAGGAGTTCTTACAAGCAACCGGAGGACAAGCAGAAAGATATCTCTTGGGACGGACTATCCAGAATAACCGAGATGAGCAACTTGCAAACCAAGACAGTGTGGGAGAAGAATGGTAGCACCCATGACGACGAAGAGCTTGGCCTTGGGCTTGAACTGCGGGGAACAGGTCACCAGTGGGAGAATTCGCACATACCCGTGAAAGCAGCCACGTTATCATTCCACCAAGTGAGTTTCTCTGTAAAAGCCGAGGAGAAGATAGTGCTGGACAGGGTCTCGGGATTCGCAAAGCCAGGGACAATGCTTGCAATTATAGGGAGCATGGGCTCAGGGAAGTCCACTCTTTTAAGAGTTCTCGCAGGACGAACTCTGCCATCGTCAAGTGGGGAACTTATCTCGGGTGAAGTGCTGGTGAACGGATTCAATCTGAGTAGCAACACCTTCCGGCGGCTGTCTGGTTTCGTGGAGCGAGTGGACGCTCATCAGCCATTCTTGACAGTGAAGGAGTCACTCGATTTCAGTGCCGGTCTTCGTTTTGGAGGCAGCACAACCCCCGGCCGCCGGGCCTTTCACGTAGAGCTCGTCCTGGAACTTATGGGCCTCGTCGGCGTCAAAGACCAGCTAGTGGGATCTCTCAAGTTTTCAAACGGGAAGATCTTTGAGCTCGCCAAGAAGCTGACCATCGCTGTGGAGCTTGCAGCAAATCCCAGCATGATTTTTCTCGAGGACCCGACGTCCGATCTCGACAGCGTCGCCACCAGGAACATCCTGTTCGCCATCCAAACGGTTGCAGCATCCGGCCGCACTGTTATCAGCACGATCCAGCAGCCGAGCGCTAGAGTTCTCAGTGCCTTCAACAACGTTCTTATTATGAGACCCGGTGGGGAGCAAGTTTACTTTGGTCCCGTCGGCTGGAACTGTGGCCAGCTTCTGGAATACTTCACGACGATGTCGAGCGCTCCAAAGTACGAGCAGAGCCAGAACCCGGTGACTTACATGTTCGATATCATCCGAAAGGACGAGCAAAACCTCGGCCTTGTCTATCGAGCGAGTTCTCTGGGAAGCTCCAACGCCGAAGAACTCAAGAAACTCCGGAAACAGTACCGGAAGAACTCGTTCTGGCCGGCGCTGGATTCGACTTACGCCGCTCCTTACTCCAAGCAGGCCTGGTTGGTCTTCCTGAGAACACAGAGGTTCCTCTACCGCAACGTCCAGTACACGTTTGGACGGCTCTCCGGGTCGATCGCTCTCGGCCTTTTGCTCGGCTCGGTCTACTACAAGATCGCCACCAACGATACGTTCTCGGTCACGTCCCGGTCGCTTTTCATCTACATCCAGGTGATGCTGCTGGGTGTGATCATCGCCAACAACGTCGTCCCCCAGCTTGGAACGGACAGGTTGGTCTACCACAGGGAACAGCGAGCAGCGATGTACGCTCCAATCTTCTATCCGGTGTCTTGGGCGATCGCGGAGATCCCATACCTGTTCATCGCGACGCTGGTGTTCGTGGGGATCTCAAACGGGCTGGCAGCGATCGCGACGCAGAGCGTGAGCAGCTTCGTCACGTACTGGCTGTGCCTCTTCGTCTTCACCACCACCGTGATGTACTTCGGTATGTTCATCACCATCGCCACCCCGGTTCCAGTGCTGGCGGCGTTCGTGGTGTCCATCACGAACTCCATCTGGGTCTCGGCCTCCGGCGTGATCGTCCCAAAGGCCAAGATGGGATTTTGCGAGTGGGTCTTCTGGGCGAATCCATTCCAGTACGTGACGCACGCGCTGACGAGCGTGAGCTTCTTCTGCGACACCGCGAGCGCGGCGTGCGCGAGCTGCCGGGTGGGCGATGCGAATTCGTGCGCGGGATGCCACTGCCCGCGGCTGCTCAACGCCGAGAGCTCCGATCCGGGGAGCTTGCCGGTGTTCGTGTGGGATCGATTGAGCTCGCAGCGATCGCTGGAGGTGGAGAGGGTCTCGCTGGATTTCGTCGCTCTGGGCGGGATGAGCGTCCTCTTCGCGCTGCTTTCTTTCCTCGCCTTCGTGTGGATGAAGCACAACAGAGGATGAAGAAGAAGCGCAAAATCAACGGTCCAGATGAGCTCTCATTTTTTAATTCAACGGCCTCGATGAAACGGGCAAACGTGCCCACCGTTGTGGCATATTCGCCGAATCTCCAACAGGGTTAGGGTTTATGGCAAGCGGCATTGTTTTGTGCGTGATCAACCGGTCGTCCAGCGCGGATCGTGTGCGCGGCGCCGCCGAGTAGCAGCTAGATCGCGCACTCTCACAGCAGCGCCGAATCTTTCTTCCTTTTTTCTATTCCCTCTGATCAATCGCCGCCGCGGCGCTTATCTTGCTAATAATCTCGCTTTGCGCGCCGCGGATTCCACATCAAGATCGCGTGCGGTGCCGCTGTCCAGCCAATTCATCCAGCACTTCTCTCCCTTTTGTCCGGGCTCTCTTGGTTCGATCGATCATCCAGTTCCAGGTAGATTCCTTGTGCGAGGGCTTCCAATGCGAGCGCCGGCCATTCGCTAGGTACGATAGAGAGAAGAAATCGCGCGCACACAAGGGGGGGCCGGGCGATGATGGGAGTTATCATAAAATTTGCAAAGCGGGTGTTCTACAGTGGAACAACGTGAATGGTATGGTCTGGCAAGTGGCAGTGATAGGATTTCTTCCAGAATGGGGCTCGGGGGGTCTATGGCACCGCCAGGAGCTACGAGTAGCTCGAATTTTTTGTGACAGCGTGTGGGAACTACCTATGTAGCTATAGATTTCTCGCTACTGGCAGCCGGGAAGTAGCAGTAGCAGCACAGTGGTACAGACAGGCACAGGGAAAGGATGGTCCGTGTGAGCAGCAGCGATGGATGATTCACTCCCCGACAAGCACGCCATTCTTAATTGCTGATGCTGCTGCTACAGCTCCGGTGAGCATTTCGTAAGCATTCCATCAGAGACCCTCGTGGATGGAAGAAATGGGATGGGGCTTTCGCCAGGAAAATTCCGGTTTTGATGACGATGGCAGCGAGAAGTTTGTCATGGGGTCTCCGTGGTCGCGCGAGGTTTCCTAGAGTAGCTTCGAGGTAGTGTAGAGGGCTTTGGTGCCTGGGAAGATGCCCTTCCCATGGAGCAAATCTTCGAGGAAATCGTCGTCCAATGCTTCCGGTAAGGATAAGGCTGACAACAGCAAGCTTTACTCTCTCGGGAAGAAGGGTCCGCGGTTGTCAGGCGAGGATGACGGGTCTTCGAGGGGTTCCAGGAGTAGTTATGATTCTTCGGCCAGGGTGGTAGCGGCGGATGCTCCTACATTCTCGCCTTCGTCTGCCGGAATTCGAAGCCCGCTCTTTCCCGAGCCGCAGGCATTCAAGGGACAGCCTCTTCCTTTGCCGGAGAGTACTACCAAGATTCAGCTTTGCAATGGAACTCTTCCGCTGCCGACGTATGACCAAGTCGAGTTTAAGCACGAGGTTGCCGAATTGGACGGGACGACTTCGGGATATGGTTCTGGTTCTATCTCCAGTGGAAGCTCCACAAGCAGTGGGGAAGCAGCGGAGGCTTGGCTTGGAAGTTCCAATCGCCAGCAAACCGATCAAAATGGACACGCAAACTCCTTGTAAGCTTTTACTTTATGTTTTTAACTTTCGCGAGAAGTGCTTGCTCACCTGGTTTCTTTCTTTTTTCTTTCAGCTCACTTCAGAAAAACCAAAACAGAGCTGGAAGAAATCCACACCAGAAAGAGGCGGTTCCGAAGACGGTACCTCCAGGAAATAAGACGAGCTCCGTCTCCCCATTGCGAGCTCGTGCTGCGGCGGCAAAACAAGGCATGCATTTACATCTACCGGCACGTAGCGCGCCAACCAGTCTCATCTCCAGTCCTTCTCACAGTCCAAGACGTTTAAGTTCGTCGGAGCAACAGGCTTTGTTCCAGAACCACAGTGCTGTGACGAACTCCACAAACCAGGGACGAAACAGTCCAGAAAAATCTCCTCTTGCAAGTCCGATACGAGGCGGTTCGAGGATTCAAAGTGGTGCTGTCTCTCCCCTGCACCATTCAAGTTCCAGAGGTACAGACTCGCCTAGTGTCGGGCATCGGCTCCCTCCGCCACCGGCATTTACAAACTCGACAGTAAATTCTCCAGCGTCATCTACATTTCCTCTCGGTTCACCGCCTGGCATGCCTTCGCACAGTCCGATCAGGTGGCAAAAAGGAAACCTTCTTGGTGTTGGCTCCTTTGGACGAGTGTACAAAGGCTTTAGGTATGCTTCTGATATTCTCGGCCTACTCCACGAGCTGATGGTTTGTTTTTTCTTTGTTTGCAGTGATAGTGGTACCTTTTGTGCAATGAAAGAAGTCCTCGTTGTGGATGATCCTAAGTCTATAGAATCTGTAAAACAGCTAATGCAGGTATGCTGCCGTTCTCATTGCACGTTCCTGTCACTGACTGGTGTTTCAGGAAATAAATATGCTAAGTAGTTTAAGACATCCTAACATTGTTCAATACCTTGGCTCAGAAATGGTAAGGTTAAGGTATCTCTTAACTAGATGTCTCATTTCTCCTTTCTTGCTGCCTGCAGCTGGACGATAGTTTGTATATTTATTTGGAGTTCGTTTCCGGAGGCTCGATACACAAGGTGCTCCAGGAATATGGTGCTTTCAAAGAGCCCGTCATTCGTAGCTATACGCAGCAAATCCTATCTGGACTCCAATACTTGCACAGTATGAACAAAGTTCACCGGTTCGTTGACTCTGTACTCTTGCGAGCTTCTATTAACAGCGCCTTTATTACAGAGACATCAAAGGTGCGAACATTCTCGTTGACACTAATGGTGAAGTCAAGCTAGCGGATTTTGGAATGGCCAAGCATGTAAGTAGCAAGCTGTGGTTTTTCTTTTTTACTTATCCATCCACGCTTCAGATATCTTCTAGTTCACTTGTGCTATCTTTTAAAGGAAGTCCCTACTGGATGGCTCCTGAGGTATGTCCACGTTTTCTTTCTTCTAATACTTCTATGACACCGTCACACGGCTACTCCTTTTTAGGTTTTCAAGAGTAATGCGCAAAGCTATCCAGTGGATATCTGGAGTCTAGGATGTACAATCATTGAAATGGCAACTGGAAAACCACCATGGAGCCAGTACGAGGGGGTATGTATTCTTTTGTAGTTTCTGTGCGTGCTCACTTACTTGTACACAGGTTGCAGCCATGTTCAAGATTGGAAACAGTAAGGAGACTCCTACAATACCGGACACCTTATCGCCAGTGGCGAAGGAGTTTATCAGGTTGTGCTTACAGCGAAATCCCGACGATCGTCCAACAGCTTCTCAACTATTAGAGCACCCCTTTGTCAAGTTTTTGCACGATGAACATCTTCCGGATGGCCTTCCACCTCTGTCGCCAACATTTCGCTCAGTGGTACGTGATATTCTTTGTTTTCCATTCTTTTGTTTCTTTTGGATGATGTTGAGTGATCAACCTGCATGATCATCCAGGTTGCGAATTTAAGCCACGATAGAGGGGGACAGTATCATCCGCGGTAATGTTTTTTAAGCACAGAAACGATACGCTGACGATTGTTTCTCGCTTTTGCTTTTGTAGAGATCTCATGTCTCCTGTTAGCAGCAATTCGGCCTACACGAGATCAATCTATTCCAGCTATGGAGGTCTCACACCAATTATCACGTCTGGAACTTCCACACCCCAAACCGAGGAAGCTCCAGCCGGGTTTGCGAAGGACAGATATACCATGGCTTCAAGAGTGAACGGAATGCACATAAGAAACGAGCCAAGATTTACGGCGACTGCTGTTTCGTCACCAGGGAGTAGAAGTCCAAGGGCTGCTCAAAGGAGCGAGTTCGTGTGGAATCCACCGGTACAGCTCACTCCGGATGCCAGTCCAAGGCGTATGTCCAGCGATATCTTGAGTACAAACTCTAGATTCTATGCGAATTCTCTTCTCGGTAAGCAAGCTCTTCCTTTTTCCTTGCTTTGACACAAAAGTTTCTATTTTGCTTTCCAGATAACAAGTGATAGAGCTGTATATGAAGAAGATCCGGCAAAGCAAACTGGAACTTAAGCCAAAAGATTTTACGAAGTAGAGTAAGCTTCGACTTTCAGGGAGAAAATGTTCGATTAATTCATGCGCAATGTACATTTTTTTCATTTTTCTTGCAGACTTTCGGTCATCATCTAACAGCCATTCCCTACGCAAGTACATCCAGAAGAGAGGAGAAAGAAAAAGAGGAAGAGAGAAACCGATAACGAGCGAGTTTTTGGAGGAAAGGAAGGAAGAATGTATATAAGCTTTCCTCAGGTAACTGGATCCTCGAGCCTGGCAGCCACGATATCGTTGATCCGTGGATACGAAACCTTCTCGTCGAGCTGGTTCTGGGACCAGATGAGCATCTTGAGCAGGCTGGGAAGCTTTGGATCCTTCTCGTGGCTCTGGCTCGTCAGGATGGCGGCGTTCAATTCACTCGCAGTCTTCTGGCGCTGCGAGAAGTCGAGCAAATCTCCCACCGGGCAATTCGAAGTGTCCTCGAACGCCAGGAGCGCCACTGTCCGCTCCAGCTCCTCGAGGAAGCTGTGGTTTTCTTCTCCACGAGGAGCTAGCTCCTCCTGTGCAAACTCCAAGGCTTCCTCGAGCTTCCCTGGATCCAAAACGTAAGGTGTAAGACAAAGATCTATAATTCTACAAGGAAAGAGATCACTTCTAATCTATCACTCCTATACACAAGGAGAGAAATCATTTCTAGCAGCGAGACCATGTATCACTCCTACACAAGAAAAGAGATCACTTCTAGCAGCCAGGCCATCAATCAAAGGATCGCACAGAGCTAACGAGACAATCTCCAAAAACAAACGAGCGAGACGCTATGGAGAGGAAATCCAAAAGTGAGGGAGGCGATGGATCGATCTAAGAAGGAGAAGGAAATGCGAGACTCACCACTTCTAATCAGCTCGATGAGCCTCTGTTGCTGGAGGTGGAAGAAGAGCTGTGGATTGGTGTCGAGGATCTCGGGATTCAAGTCATTCACCTTCTCGATCGCGTCCTCCACATTGCCGCACTGCACCGCCTTGCGCACCGCCATTCTGTCGGTGATTGACCCCAAATCCACCTCCGGCGAGGTGCCCGATTCGTGCTGGAATTTCTCCGCCGCGTCCACATAGCCTTCGGTCACCAGGAAATTCATCACCAGCTTGTTCATGTCCTCCTTCCGGATCTTCACCTCGGCCAGCTTCCGCTCCCATTCCTCGCGACTCACGATCTTCTTCGACGATGACTCCCCTTTGCCCATGGCTGTGATACCCTAACAGCGAAGAACCCTAAAAAATGGGCAAAACGAAAGCCTGCTTTTTAGGGTTCTTGGGCAAACAAGAAAGGGGCGAAAGAAAACGAAATGAAAGCGCATTCTCGCCCCGCCGGCAATGCGCTCTTCGTCTTCCATCTCGTCGCGTTTCTCTGGTGAGGATTTCTAGCGCCTTGTGCTCTTCCAATCGATTGCTTTTCAGGTTTTTGTACACCTTTAGCTGGCATTTTGGCCGCGCAGCGAGCAAGCTCCCCCAGTCGCAAGGATTTGGCTGGTTCTTCAAGGTTTAGAGAAATTTTGAGCGATTTCTTCTTCGTTTGATCGATTTCTTCCTTGATTTCTCATCGCAGTATCTCACTTTCTGTGGATTCACGTTGCAATTGGTATCACTGCTCGTCTGCCTCTTGTCCCACCTATTTCCGGAGGTGAGCAGCACGAATTTTTCCTTTTCTTTTGGTATGGAAACGAGAGGGAGCATCGCAGATTAGAGTCGAGGCTTGAAGCGCGCGGCGGATGATTTGTCTTGCACCACCTTCGCGATTGCCAATGTCATCACGGCCATGCACTGGGTTCTCTACTTCACTACCGCAGCTCCAGTCGAAGCATCTGCCACTGCCAAAATCGAGACCACCGTCACTCGGAGTTTGTAAGCTCTCTTCTCTCGTTCTTCCTCCTCTACTTTGTTTGTTCTTGACTTAACAGTGGCTTTCTCTCTCTCGCAGAAACGTCCAGACTTCTTCACCACTGTGGCTGAATCTCACAGTCCATTTGGCGAACGCCATTGTCGCCTGGACCGACGTCCACGTTTCCGATAGAACTTTCAGGTACTTCGCTCCATCTTTCTCTCCAGTGAAAAACACGTTTTGTGTTTCTTTCGCTGCAGGAAGTCGTCACTCAACCAGTCTCTCATCTTCTGCCTTGTCTACACCACCTGGATCCAAGTCTGTGCCTTCAAGAACAAGGTGAAAAGAAAGAAAAAGCGAAGAAAACTTCTACTAAGCTCAGCTCGCATGTGAACAAACAGATGTATCCATACCCGTTCCTCAACAAGCTCCCGCAGCCGGAAGGATTCATCGCCACGGTCGCGGTCGCGGTGACCCTCACCTTCGCCTTCTTCAAAGCCGGCTCCACATTGGCGAGCGTCCAAACCTCCCGGCGACTAGCCAAGCTCAAAGCCATGTAAGTCCATCTTTCTCCTTCATAAAAGAGCTAAAAATCTACTTTTTCAATCTTTCTTTCGAGCATCAAAAAGCTCGCGAAAACCCTTAGCGCGAGGGCTTTAGCAGCATGTCGGACTACAGCGACTCCGAAGACGACTACGACGATCGCGAAGCGGACATAGCTTGCGACTGGAGCGATGGCCCCAAGCAGCAAAACGACCCGCTCTTCAAGCTCCACTGCCAGCTCTGCTCGTGTCCGCTCGCCGTCACGTTCCACTCGTCCATCGGCGCCGTGGATTTCAGCGAGCGCCAGGCCGTGGTGGCGGTCCTCCCGTGCAACCATTGCTTCCACTCGGTGTGCCTCGACGACTACTCGTCTTCGTCCCAGCAGCTCCGGTGCCCGGTTTTCAAAGGACCGTCTCTGGCGTGTGCCGAGTTCCAGGAGCGGCAGAGGCTGGCGGAGCAGCACCAGCGCGAGAGGGAGAGGCTGGCGGAGCGGCGGCGCGAGAAAGAGAGGCTGGCGGCGCAGCAGCGGCTCGAGCAGGAGGCTGCGAGAACTGCTTCATCCAAAGGTAAGAGTAAGAAGGGTGGCGCCATCGCCACCGCCACCGCTGCGATCGCGAAAGCTGTGGGCTTGAAGAAGAACACGAAGAAGAAGGGAGCGTCGCACATAGCATCCAAGAAGACAGGAAAAAAGTGATTTTTTTCGTTCGATCATTCGCTTAGTTCTGGGTTTTAAATTAATGTCGGCCGTTGGATGTCGCGCGGGGTTTAGGGTTCTTGCGCTTCAGGAAAATGGTGGGGGAATCAAGCGTGGAGCAGCTCTTGGGCAATCTCTTCCCTCGTTTGCACCGATGAGATTGAGGAGATCGCACGGATTCTACAGGAGCAGGGCACGGTCATGGGCATGTGCTCTGGAAAGGTGGCGGAGCTAGGAGTGTCCAAGTGGGTTTGCAAGGGCTTGGTTGCCAAGAACATCATGCAATTTGGTGTTAGATTGCAAATTTGAATACAAGAATAACATTAGTAAAAGACAGTGTTTGCATCATGTGTTCTTGGGGGAGAGGAAATCAATGCTCTTTTGCTCCAAGTCTCCTTGCTGCCAACGCTAGCTCGAATGGTTTCCAAGGCACAGCATTGGAGAAGCACGGGAGTATGAGCTCATCGGAGTCCAAGCTTGACAAGGGCTGTTTGCTATCGAATTTCCCAACCTGGGCAAGTGCGACCAAAGATGTGGCTGGAGCTAGCCAAGAGTGGCATGGATGCAGAGGAACTCCAGACCGTGAGCTCCTTGTTCGATGAGAAGGAAGTTGGCGCACTCTATGGATACCGAGTGCTGCTCAGGGTGATTGCGGTTGAGGCTCTGGTCCAGTGCCAGCTCCAGGACGATCTTTGCTATCTCGGCAGCTTCCACTTCACCTCATCCACGGGAATTGGAAGGGATGGAATTGGGATTTCTTCACGGGAGAAGGAAGCTAGTAGGGACTGGTCGAAGGTGAGCGAGGAGATGGCAGGTTGGTGCAGGGATGGAGGAGGGTGTTTAGTCACCAGGGTGGGAGGAGGTTTGATATGTTCACAAACAAGGAGTCAGCTGAGATGTGGTCGCTGGTTCTGGATTACGTTGAGAGGTTCTTTCTCAACGTGCGAGCTCTCAACGCGTTGGTGCATCTCATGTGCGTGGAGCGTTGTATTCACGGATATGGTCCGCAAACTACCGCCACCTTTGTTCTTAAAAGTTGATGGAATAACAACATGCAAATCAGCCCCACCCCTGCTCAAAGTCAATCCTAAATGCATGCTAAACAATCCTCAACCACCTTTCGACTTTGGAACCTCCTTCCATTGTTGACTTGAGTAGCTCCTGAACCTCCTCATCTCCATGGGACTATGGATTTGGGGACTGATGACTAGTCGTACCTTTTTCTCTTCCTGGTCAACTGCGAGACGTCCTCGTCAACGCAGTTGACTATCTGCGCATAGAATTCGAAAGTTGACCGTCAAAAATGCATTGAATACGCTCTCTCCCCTTGTCAAGATCTTCACTGATGTCGAACGAGAGCTGTGTAAACGCTTGCACCCGGGATCGGTTGTGGATTCGCCGCTCGAGCTGCAGAGCTCTACCGTTATTGCCGTCTGAATCCTGTACACTGGATGAACGACGTGACACTCTTCAATAGATTCCCAGATATCACAAGGCTTCAAGAAATTGAAAATTTGGAAAAGAATTTTTCGCAAAAACCTCATGGGTCGGAATATGACTTATACTTCGAGACACACAGGCGGGTCATCAGATGCATACTCTACAACCCAGGAGGTAATAGTAATGTAATCGCCGCACTATTTAAATAAAAGACTTTCAATTGCGCTTGGGCATGTGGGATAATTGAGCTTTGCCCTACACCTAATTGAGTTTAGGGCAGATTAGACACCCCTCCAGTTTGAGGTACGTATTGAAGAGGTTCCTGCAGTTCTCAACTCCTCGTCCACAATTTTGTACTTGTCGCGATCACCACCTTCAAACGTCCCACAAATGTTACCACTTCTTGGAGATTCTGGAGACAACAGCAGCGCTCCCAAACCCGAGAGCCGCTGCGCCTTTGCAAATGGCAGCACCCGGTGATGGAGGAGCGATCACTGTTCTTGTTACGGTCCTATAAACGTAAGAAAGGTGGCGCGGCCGCCAGCTATCGAAAAAGCTGTTGAAGAAGACGAAGAAGCGAGCGCCACCCAAAGCATGGAAGAAGACAGGATATTTTCTTCGATCATTCTCGTAGAAACTTATCTTTGGTCTTTTCCTTCTTGGAAGAAGCTATCGCTAAACAGCTGATCCATCCTGGTTCGCCCATCTCCTCCGCTCCTCGGCCTCGTCAACCGGGTGGTACCACTCGGGCTTGGTCTTTGGATTGCTCAGCCGATAGTTTAGCAGCAGCTCCTCGTTGCAAACGTTCCTGGTTGTGACGAGCACCAGACCTCGCAGATAAGTTGGATCCCTGTCCTTGGCGCTCAAAACCTCCGGCAATGGAACCTTGCTCCAGCTCTTGCCTCTCCGCTCCATGTTCTTCACGGTGTCGTCCTCGAAGCGGAGGTTTGGAATGTAAGGCCGCATGTCCTCCTCGTGCTCCGGGAAATCGTAGGGGCAGATCATCACGTTCGGGAGCTGGCCTTTCGGGGGATGATTCACGAAGTGAGCCAGAGCCAACGGGTTCCTGCGCTCGATCACTTCGATCTTGAGCCTGCTCGGCGGTGGAGTGTCGTCCTCGTCCTTGACTTCGATCAGAGCTTTGAAGCGATCTCCAATCTTCTTCTCTTTGCCACCCTGTGATGCAGCTTCTCCCTCGCTCGCCTTGTCTACCATAGCTTCCTCTCCCTGTTCTTCTTTTCTATCTTCCAGATCCTCTTCCTTCTCTTCGGGTTCGTCGTAGCCATCCCAGAATTCCCTGCTCGTCCCTCCTTTACCCCACGACTTTCCATCGATCACGTAGCCTTCGTACCTCGAGACGAGATAAGGATTGTCGAGCTTCGGATACCCGGGGATGTACCAGTACTTGGCCGGCGAGTATATGACTCCTGGATACAAAGCCACCACTGTTCCAGTCCTCGCTATCCCTTCCAGAAACAATCCTTGGCCAGCATTGTGTCCAGGAACTTCCGAGTCTTTGAGATGGAGTGAAAATCCCAGCTGGTTCTTCAGCGCTTCGTCGATATCGTATTTTCCCAGCGAGGCTGTTGCTGGAGGACCTGTGCTGCAAAACAAGCTCAAGAACATCACCCAAGAAGAAAAATAAAACAAAACAACACAAAAAAATGGAGATCGAAAGAGAACAAAAGAAAGAAAAATCACCTAAGAGTTTCTGGACTTCGATGTCGGGCTTGCTCTTGGTCACTGCGAATGCGAGCCCGCTGGGCCTCTTGAATCCCTCCTCGAGCGATTTTTTTCTCTCGCAACCCGCGAGAAAGATGGTGTCTAGAGCGCGACTGATATTTCTCACTTGGTCGTGGATGTTTTCTTGTACCTGGTGTTCTTGGTCAGGAAAAGGCACCGTCCTCCCCAGCTGCTCGATCCTGTCCAGATCCTCGTCGGTAGCACTCGAATCCAGCCGACGATAGCTGCGAAGATTTCCAGAAATGCCTCAGCGAGACTAGATTTTGCTGCGAGGCAAATACCTCGTCAGAAGAAACAGCCTCGAGATATCGATCTCCTTCTGGACTTTGCGATAATCGGGGACCACGACCTTGGATTTCGCGGTGAGGAATCCATCCCAGAGCTGCATGGCAAGAAGAATCGAGTGATTCCAGAGCTACATTTCCGCAGAATCGCCACAAGTCTTACCACGCGAAGGCGCTGGATCGCCATAGCTGGGAAAAACCCCTAGGGCTTTAAAAGCATATGCCGGGAATAAGTTTTCTCGTGACGTGGCAAAATTATGCCACGTCACTAAGTAAAGCTTTTTTACAAGTATTCTGGAAGAGAAGCTCAACGAGAAACGCAAACTTACACGCGTCCAAGCTCCATTCTGGAAAGAAGGGAAAAAAGTGAGATGAAACACACAAATTTTGATGGATTTACCGCAGAAAGAACGAAGATCTCTCAGGTGAAGCACTTTGGAAACGTCCAGATGATGAAGCGAATGAAAGCATCGGTTTCCAGGAACTCGATGTGAGCGGTGCGGCCGATGAAGGCGTTGAAAGTCCTGGCCTGCGAGGAGATATCGAAGTTAACATCGCAGCGTATCAAGTTGCGCTGCCGGAGTGGCGACGGCGTCTTGAGTTGCAGCAGGCAATTGTGGAGCATGACTGCAAATGCCGGGCCTCGTTTTGCGTCACGGAGAGCCGCCTGGCACATCTCTATCCTGGCCGAGTGATATGGTACATAGCGATCCTAGAACAAAACCGAGGAAACAATTGAGAGTTTGAAAGTTTTCGCTTACCTGGGGTGAGGAGAGCAAGATGACATTTTGGAACAGCTCGAAAGTCTTGGCCTGCGAATGCCAAATCGTCACCAAAGCACGAAGAACAAACACGATGGTTTGTACCTGGCTTAGCTTGAAAAGAAAAGAGTCCTCGATATTCGTCTTGTCGGAGAAAGTTAGCTGGTGCATCAAAGCCGAGCCTTTCCATTTCTTCAGTATCCAGAGGCCCGAGTTGAAAAGCGGGTTTGAGCTGTAGAGATAGCCGAGATGTGGACCAGATATGGATAAGAAAGTGTACAAGTACTTGAGGTAAGGTTGAAATGAAGTCTCTGCGAACAAAATCATACCAAGACAATTTCAAAGCTGTGAAAAAATACAACTATATACCCATCAATGCAGCTCGAATGATCAGATTCCCGATAGAGTGTCCCACAAAACTGATCTTAAAGTTTCTGTAGGCTCCATATTTCCTTGGTTTGCTCATTCTCGACTTTAGAAACTCGGCCGCTTCGTCTGCCAGCCGGCCTCCTAGCTCGGACAAGTCGCCGGACGTTCGCTCCTCGTTGGCGAGAGACATAAGAACCTCGGCTTCAGGATCAGCTAAAAGCCAGTGATTGCGAACGAGTCTCAAATCCAAATGGTGGCCCTGAGTCGATCAATGAGTTAAAATTGTTGTAAGTGAATAAAAAACAGTAGAATACTTACTTGAAAACCATGAACAAATATTACCAGCCTTAACTCGTCGATGCCTCTGCCACTTGTTTCTTCGGCATCTCCAATCTGTTCATGCTCCACAAAGATAATGGGTTGTTGTGAAGGCCTTCCGAACAAATGCATATCTTCAAAGTCACATCCGATCTGCAAAGCTAAAAGATTAAAAAAACATCCCACTTGAGCGATGCCATAACAAAATAGATTTCGTACCGGTGTTTGCATGAGGCTTTTCCGATGTATCTCAGCACGATTTACTGCCCATTTCTAAACAGAAAACAAAAAAAAGAATGATTAAAACACTAAGTCTTTGCAGCAACGTACATCTTCAGACTCCCTCGTGCCAGTAAGCTCTGAATGCCTCACCCACATGAGACAGTGAGCGTATCTTTCTTGATTCCAAGAATTGCGGAGCGAGGTGCAAAAGAAATCCTTGTTTTCCCTGTAGCTAAAGTATCAACAACGAAAGTGTACAAGTGTATGTACCTATGAAGTTTCATGAAAAGATTCCATAGGCCAGAGAGCTGATCCTCAAGCTCTTGGCTTGCTCCTTTATTCCCCTGTAAAGTTTCCAAAGTCGTCTCAGGCACAAAAACTAGAATAAAATAATGAACCATCATACCGTGATCTCCTCTTGAAGCTGCTCTATGCTTCCAAACGCGTTGAGCAGCGACACAAGAGCATTCCTAGATGAAAGCAGTACTTTATGCACTTCCACGCTCTATGACCTGGAGATGTTAGAGAATCAGTCGTTGTTTAGCACCCTCTACGAACCTTTAACGAGTTTCTGGTAGCAAGGTTGTAACCGGCTGCATTACATGAAGAAAGAGTAGAGATTTGCGAAGCTTACCCTTCAGTTGCAGCATGAAGAGGTTCGATCTCGTGGTGCGAAGTGCTGAGTATCACCGTGTGTACGAAGACATCGACCAGAGCCATATGGCTTGCATCAAAGTGCAAAGGACAGTAAGCGTGTGCACCGTGAACAGCTCGCGGCGAAAGCCGGTAACAGTGGCTTGCAACGGTGGGTAACTCCATGTGCATCGAGTTGAAAAACCTTCCAAAGACAAGAGAGAAAGAAAAACACGTAACTAAGAGCGTGAGATCGATGCAAACTCGTACAAAAAGCCGTCCAAAGGAGCAAAAAGGAGGTGGAACTTGATGAGAGCTGATGAGTTGAGAATCTCCTGCAAAGTGATCCAACGAAAGGTGTGTCAGCAAAAGCAAAAGTGAAAGAGAAAAGAGAGAAAAAGGAGACCTCCACAGATTTAAAAGCAAGGCTGAACGAGACCATCATAGCCAGAAACACGTCTTGGCGAGCATACTTGATCTTGAAAGGGCGTGTGCAGAAGCTGTGATCGGTGTCACTTATATGCCAAACAGTCGAGAGTCCATCGCTCGCACCTAAGTAACAAGACAAGAACGCGCGTTCAAAGGGATACAAAAAAACCAAGAAAGAAAAACAAAACTTCGAGGGAAAATCTCAAGGAAAATTTGGAAGGAAGAATCCCTGTACTGACCTTCGTATTGCACGACTCGAGTGGGAATTCCAGCTTCTCGATCGTTTCCCTCCCAAGCGCAAGTGACCTTCAATGCATACCATCTGGATGGATGGGGCGGCAGCGGGATTTCTAGCTCAAATCTCGAAGAATTCTGGAAGAGAGGAACGCATTTTGCTTACCCTTGCTGCCAGAGATCCAGGTTGTGGAAGCGCTCGATGTACAAGGAAACCTCAAGCGCAATGTCCATTTCGTCCAGCACCAACAAGCCCTACATTTGGGTTTACTTTACACTTCCTTTGTATGTGTGCTTTCTTTGAGTTTAATAAATTCTTTACCTAAATTTGTAGCATAACAAAATTAAAGTTTTGAGCTTAAATACCTTTCACGTTTTGTTTGTGTGTTACAAATTTACTTCACTTTTGCTAGATAATCTGTGGTGAAAAGCTTATCACTCAACAAACACGTTGCACCTCACAATAGGACTATATATATTCATCATGCCAAAGACAGATTTAGTGTAGCTCCTTGCCTTTTAATTTCTGTAATTTTATTCTTTCACTCCTCCTCAAGGTACGATTGCAGCTCCTATTGCAGCTGCTGTGCTTGGAACATAAGATGCTGTTAGCCATAGCAAGAGCAGAACACTTACATTTGCCAACCATGTAATGACATTCAAGAGTACGCCCAGCACGTTTCTGGAACTTGGTTTCGAGAGGGGATAATAGCAGATCTAGTTGCCCATAGTTGACAAACACATCCGCATGATTGTCATAGCGGATCACCACCCCGTCACTCACACAATTTCCAAAGCAACCAATCCACACAAAGTAGGTGTAGTAAAGCTTCACTCCCTTGAATAAAAAAGGCTCCTTTTCCTTGACTCTGAGCAGGACCTTCTGCTTGTTATCATATATTTGCTCCGGGTTAAGGTCGTCCAGGATACCGGCTTATAGCACAAATGCTTTGCGATACATGGCAACACTGATCACCGGCCGCACAGCAGTGGCTGGGTCGGAATCCAAGTAGACCTTCGAATCCCATGAAGTCGTCCACCATTTATCGCGTGCGCTCCTCCAAAATCTTTCTGCCACAATCTTTTGTCCCACAGGAGCCAGCCACACAGACTCCCGCAGCCTCAGCACCGTTGCGACTGCCAAAGTGCAATTCCATCACCATAGTACTCTTGTGCGAGAAGAGGGGCTAGCCATGGAAGAGGACCTCTTCCATGCCGAGTGTGGCACCCTGGATTGCTCGAAGGCAAGCCTCCTAAGGGGCTCGCACAGGCAAGCGCATCTCCCGTCCTTGTTCTTGTACAGAAAATGCCCATTCCCGGCATTGTTGAACTCGTTCAACTGACCGCTTTTAAGCTCAGAGCCGCCAAAGCCTCCAATGCCCATGCACTGGCCGGGCCAAGGGCATCGTCAACCCCATCGGCATAATAGGTAAGTACAAGAGGGAGCTCACCACGGTAGTAGAACTTCAGGAGCAGCGGCGAGAACCCGGTGAGGTGCCGCACACTGTCGTCCACCGGCGGCTTACCGGCGTGCCGCGCAAACCAGTTGAGCTCCTCGCCATCGAAGGTTTCTGGCATGTCAAAGAAGGCATTTGCAACACCACAGTCGGGAGAGGCACCAGCGCGAGCACAGAAACCAAGGACCCTTCCCTCTGTTATGTCTTTCAGGAGATCCATAGCGGCCCTCTTATCCTCCGCTGTCCTGTCGGGGATAGCGAGCATGAAGCAGAGCTTCTCTGGGCGGTTCTTGATCCACTGTACTAGACGATCGCGGGACTTGAGGGCCATGATCTCGTTCACGACGGCCGCTTCACCACCAAAAGCCACGCCCAGGTTGGACTGGAGGACAACCAAGGGCATGCATCTGAAGAAGGGTCCGCAGAGATACACCGCCTGGGAGGGGAGTTGTCCGTTAGAACTGAGCAGGAGGACGCTATCGACTTACCTTGCATCGGTTTTGCGTCGTGAGAAAGGCAGCGAGTGTGGCGAGTAGGAAAGTTTTGCCACAACCGGGTAGCCCCCTGATGCATCCACGGCCGCCGGGCGCTAGGCTTGTGACAAAGGCGGCAGCGTCACGGAAGCAGGCCCGGCACATGAAGTCGATCCAGATGGTCTCCTCTAGGAAGTCCGAGGGCAGGCGCACAGGAGTGAGAGAGCGCTCGCTGCACAGCTGCTGCTCGGCCACCCTGCACAGGCTCTTCTGCATCTCCTGCCAGCTTTCGATGAAATCCTTGAAAACATTGATAGGTTTTTTGCCTCCAAGCGCCAACAACGTGTGCCATATTGGAGAGCCCACGAAAGATCTCGATAGAATTCCGCCGTTCTTGATGGAGCAACACTGTGAAAACTCTTTCCAGACATTGGGCATAAAAAAGCTCAGGTATATTCATGGTAAAAAGTGTCAAAGCTTAGAGAAAGGTTAACTAGGATTTCATCTTGCAGGATAACCAGAGCTACTTCAAAGAGCTCATATTCTTGAAAAAACCTGGCTATAGAAATGAAATATAAAGTATTATGAACCCCAATATAGATCAAACATTGAAACATCGATGACCTAATCAGAAAATGTATTTTATCCTATTGACTTGGTGTAGTATCATAACTATTAAGGCTGCACTGTGTTCTTTCTATAGCTATTTTCTTCTATGTTCATGTGTTTATTATTTGTGTGTCATTTGTAAGTTTTGATAGTGAATATAACTAGAATATGCTTGAATATTCTAGGATATTCAAATATCTAATGGTTGTTATTTATTTAGATTAATCTTGTATTTATAATTTATAAATATGTTTCTAATGTATAAACTTTCCAAAACACTTCCTAGTATAGTTTAGTTTATTCTACCATCTACTGGTTGATATTCAATAAGATTAATCTTGTGTTTATAAATTATAAGCATGTTTGTAATTTTTGATTAATTAATTTATTAAATAAGAATAACATTACTATTAAGAAAACCAAGTGTTGCTACATGCAACATGCAGCAAATTTTTTTAAAAAAAAGTTTTATCCCATTAAATCATCTTTAATTACTATTTAACATATTTTGATTCCTTGCTAGTATTTAAATATGCATGCTAGAAAAATATATTTACAATATAAATAAATAAGTATATATACTATCTAGTGGTGTAAGATCTAAAGAGAGACATACACACACTTATATATATTTTCTTTCTTAAATAGTCACTAATTATAGTATTATAGCATATGGACCATCCACTTGGGGCTAAATCATTCTTATATATGACAAAAGGTCTAAACCCCAATTAATGTATTTATTTTTATATCTAAAACACTCACACTGGTAGAGGTAAAAGGTATTATAATTTATTTCTTGAAGGCAAAGCTTTTTAGTAGTGTTTTACTCTAGTGTTCAGGATTATTTTTATTCTTTTTAAAATCTAAATCTGTATTAACTTTTTGCAAAATCTAGAATTCTAGCTATTATTATATTTAGTTTTGATTTTCATTTTAAATCTTCATTACATTCCTTTCTTCCACCATACCATGCTGTCACTGATTAAAGAGTATATCACTTGAAGTTGCTAATGTTATTTTATTGGATCAAACTTTGGTGTTGTGATGTATGATTATGTTGGCATTGCACCCATCCTTCATGTATTACTATTTCTAACTTTTGTGAGACATGATTACACAAATTTTTTTGTTCTCAGTGTTTTGCCATCTATTGTTGATATAAAGCATGACTATCACATTAATTGAAAAATTATGGATGATGCAATTTAGTTTTTGGAAAATGTTCAAAGATCAAATTTATAAAAAGATGATATATATGAGCTCGAGTGGATGGATTGTGATGATGAGCTTGATTTATATAGAAATAATTTTGGAGACTAAATAGAAATTTCATGAGGTATATATTAATCCTTCAATTTGCCATTTGATCATTTCTTTTTACCTTTTAATCTTTCCCAAACTTTTTATATCCAAACCACTTTCTTGTATTTCTAGCATTTTTCCTTATTTGTAGTGTTTTTGTCCTTTGGCATATTGATTATTTATGACTTTTATAATTGTTATTCTTAACTTAGTATTCCTCCTCATACTAATCTTGATATTAAGTATGTGCATGAAATTGAAAATTTTACTTTTGTTTCGTTAACAAAGTCTTTGATTAGTTCTAGTGTTAAATATTCACCTATTTCAAAAATTGAGTTACTTTGACTAGAGTTTTGGGTTGAATGTATATCCCTACTTATAAGTGTCATAAAGAATCTTTATTTTACTATTGTTATTAAAGAATTTATGTGTTCCTTTGAGATTATGGACATTTATATTAATTTTCTCATTTCGAAGTGTTGAATTATGTGTTGAATAAGTTGAGCACTGTGAATCTTTTGATTATATTATAATGGCTGAAGTATTTTATAATAAATCCTAAACTTTGAGTATATATATTTTTTATTTTCCTATTTCCACATTGATAATTACTGAAGATTCCTTTATTAATCTTTTTTTATCCATTTTTTTTCTTCCACTCCTCAATTTTTCTTGTTTTCTCCTCTTTGCCCTCTTGCATCCATATAAAAATTAATAACACTGAAGCAACTCTATTTTAAATTGGTTTGTACTTTCAAAAAAGAGTCAACCAAGGATGCCATAGACATTTTGAGTCCGGTAAAAGTTCGTGGTGGTAATTCACGACTGCATCGCACAAATGATGCCCCATGGAGCAGCTTGCAAATCGACGTTCTGGCAAACATGCTGGCTGCTTCTATACGTGGTGGCGATGCTTTAGCTGCATGGCGTGCAGCTTCATCCACTTATCACACCACATGCACAAATTTGCCTTGCCACTGCTTTGCCAACAGCTGCGGCCAAACTCCCAGGTGGGACACGGTCTTCAGTTCCAGCGCTCCCTTTCCTCAGGTAACTTGACGCTTTACGTTTGATCTTCTTCTTGACTGACTCAGTTTTTTGCAGGTAGCATTCGTTTCCTCAGGAAAGCTCGCAAATGGACTTTATCAAACGGAATCCCAGGAAGAAGGATTGGTGGAGAGGGAGCAGCTCATCCGATCCTTATATCTACACGCCGTTTTCAGAGAGCCGAAAAAGATTCAGCTCATCTGGATAGTTGAAGTTCTTGTTGAAGTTGCAAATCCTTTGTGCCTTCGAAATCCACGTTGAGAGTATATGCATCAGCCGGGGGAATTCGAGGCATTTCCACAGTCCTTTGTCTTACCTCCGAATGGATCGAAAGTTTTGTCACTCGCTGGAAGGCCACGTTCGA